GAACATATGGTTTGGTTTGTTTTGGTGTTTTGTGACACATCAATGCATGTGCGCCATTTAGTGCCAAGACAATTGGACTAATGTTTCATGCCGAGGAATGCAATTCCCACATCGAAAAATCGGAATATCGGAGAAACTCTTGATACTATATATTATATATATAACATGATTAAGAAGTTATGCTGAAACACAATAATCCTTCGCCACAACTAACTTAAGAGTTTTATGAATAGGAAATATCCATACTCATTTGGAAGTTATAGTCTTTTCATAAATAAGTACTATATCTGCACATTCACTATGCTACTTTTTAATAAGAAAACAGATTTTAAATTGTACGTACAAACATTGACGCACTCTTTAATTCAGTTTAGACCCTTTGTAAAATAGAGGTCAATTCGCGGGCGTTGATGGCTTGAAATGTCTTTATGGAAAGTTATTATTGTTATAACATAGAAATCGTTTCACAGTCTCGTGGCTCGAATACGCAAACTCGAAAGAGCCAATCATGCCATACGTTATAATCACATCATCCTTGTAAATCGCATATTCCTGCTCACCTCAACGCGAATTATAACCTCCATCTTAACGTAATCGAATTACTTGGTGGGCAGATGGGCCACAGTAAAAATATTTCGCTTTCTCGAGGTTTCATGTGTATTTGATGTTGAAAGAACCTATCAGTTTTTTTTAATAAATTTAATTATTTGCTCTCCATCCAGATCAGGTATCTGAGTTAACAGGGGCTCAAATTTCCAGAGATATAACTCGAAAGAGGCGGTCAGTTTGTTTCATTTGAATGTTCACTAATTCAGGTAATATCGTATTCGAGATAAGCAATGTGAGGCTAGGGAATGTGATATTTGGTTAGCTTTACTCACTGAGGTTTCCTGGTAAGATATAAGAACAGTCAAACTATGTTAACTGCGTTTTGCATATATTTGTGCATATATCTGTGGGTGCAATGGGAAGTGGGTAAGTGCACGATTGTTTTTATTTGTACACCTTTTAGCAACTATAGGGAAATGTGTATATGTATAATCATGAAGTATTATTTATATTCTTTGTACACAGAGAAGAATACAAAGTGCGCTGAATTATTTACATTCAAATAAAAAATAATGGAGACAAATTTTGCAATATACTTTCGATATTGCACGTTGCCGTGCTTGAAATAACGAATCCTTGCTACCCATGATACTTGTTCTGAATAAAGACCGTGTACTTATCTAACTGGCTTCCAAACTTCAAAAACATACAATCGAACCTTGATAACAAAAATTATTTTCACGTTATGGTCATATGCCTTGCCTGATATTTTTGATTACGCCTAACGAAAGTTTCAATTTTGCCCATGGAGAACTCGAAATTGAATATAGATGAGTTTGTTAGGCGAGTTAAAAAGTTCGTGTAGTGAAAAAGATTTACTTGAATTCGCGTAGGTTTGCACATAAGCTTGCCACACGTGTTCCCTCATTACCGGACAAGTTCAGGACACACGGTACTAATTGTATTGAAAAATGGGAACCAGTCTAGAAATGGGTGAATATTAAATTGAGAATATACGGGTCTGGGTGACCAAGATTGGTTAATAATGTAAGCTATGTTTAAGGGAAAAGAATCTTTTGAGACCTTATCCTAGTTGAAAGTGAATAAAAATTGAGACATTGTTTTATTGATGTAATTTTAGTCCTTTAATAGTCTTGAGTTTGGAACACTCATTACTAAAATTAGCACATTAATTTTTGGTGGGGAATTGAAAGCACATGTTTCAGGTAAATGTAGGCCCAGAAAATGCCATTGCTCATATCCTTTCCTCTGCACAGAAGCTGACTTCCAGGTTTCATCTATGCTGATACATCTATGTTCGGGCATGAGCACTTACAAAATTTTAAATTACTGAATTTTTAATATCATGGTGTTTGCATAGGTTTACTGTGGGGAACTGAATTAGTACCGTGATTCCATTAAGACCATTACCGCCTGTATACTGCAGCAAGCATAACCAGAACCGTAGACCACAACGACATCACAAAACGTAAATTATTAAATTATTGTTTATATACAGTGCCGTTTTAAGGCATAGGCACGCGAGATACGTGCCTTGAACCCTGCGCATAAGGGGGTCCAGCGGCGGCTCAAAAACAAGATATCGGTGTCGTTTGTGTTAGCAGTTTAGTGTTTGTGTCTGTGTGTGCGATTTTTAACGTAGCTTTAACAAATTTTCAGTCATATCGATACGATGTCCGCACTGTGACAGGTTATAGTGATATCAAAAACTGGGGTATAATGCAGAAGATATGTGGCATGATGTCCCACCAAGTCACATTATCCTAACACCAGGCCGACCAGTACTAACACTGACCTCTTAATGATGAGCGTCAAGCGAAGCAGCTATTAGTACCATTTTTAAAGTCTTTGCTATGACTCGGCCGGATTCGAACCATCGACCTCCCGCATTTGAGGTGGACGCTATAACCAATAGGCCATCGGAAAGGTCTTTAGCAGTTTAGTAATATATTAATAAGGGGGCCCGAGTGGTCGAGTGATCTAAAGCGCTGTCCATTAAGGATCTCTGCCATCTGACCTCTGTCTGCGTTAGTTCGAGTCCAGACTCGACTAGCGTGGGTAAGTGAGAAAACCTGCCAGTAGCTTCTCGTGGGTCGGTGGTTCTTTCCGGGGTATTCCAGGGTTCTTCCTCCACCATTAATGCTGGCCGCCATGTATAGCCTATCTTGTGCTGAAAAATGGCGTTAAACCCTATAACAACAATAACTATATTAATAAATTTATCAAAATGACATACACACACATGGAAATGCAGTGCAATACTCTATATATGAGACTAAGAGATTGAGACCCAATTCTGGTTACTTTCAAGGTTAGTGTTTGTAATCTATGGCCCCCAAACTTCTTAAAACGGCTCTGGGATGGTACAGATTATATCCATATGTCTTAGTCTATATATTGATTAAAAGATGTATTGCGAGATATTCTGTTCGCACGGATGGACGGACAATACTGTATGACTCGAATCTTTCTTTCGAAATGTGCGTTGATAGCTATGTTGAAAATATTTTATGTAAGGCTAGGCTTGAAGCATGCGTATAGCAGCTTTTTATTAAATATTTTCTATCTATTCACTGATGATATCATTAGCAAATTCAAAACTCAGTATGCATAAATATTTCATTCATGTATAAGCCGCTGATCACGTCAAACATGACATGAATTTAAGACTTTATAGACACATGAGCAACTTGTTTCTGTTGAAAAGAATATGTAAAACTGAACACAGCTCAACGATATTCTTCTAGCTTTAAATAGATCCAACTATGAATTGCATTAGACTAAACAACGCATTTCCAAAAATTAATATTTATAAAGCAGGTGGAAGCTTCCGGTTGATTTCTATTTAGATAGACAAAACATAGGCATTAATTATTAACTGCGAATTTTAGTTAACTCTGGACAAGATATGAATGTTAAATTTTACGAGAAATGCCGGTACCGATTATAGTACAAAGTGGCCATCTTTCTCCTCGTTGGTTTTACCAAGGAGACAACCTTACCAATTCATGTAAAGATAGAGTATCATTCCTGTCGCTGGTGTGGTCCGGTAAACCTGAAATCTGAAATTGTTGCCAGCATGCATCAACAACCAATGACTAATATTAGATTGGTTTTGCTAGAGTCGTTGAAAAATATCAATGGTTAAATATGCAAAACATGCAAGATAATTGTGGAATATATATTTCGATAACTGTAATTGATTAAATCCAAACTAATTATATATCATTGTTACATAATCAAAACAAAAACTTCTATACTAGATGTACCAATTATAAAACAGATGAGACATACGTTACATGTCCTTTAATACGTCTTCCACCAGTAATGACGCGTTGCTAAGAAACATTTCAACAGAATTATCAACAAGTACAGAATAATTTAAGAGAAATTTAAATAAGTATAAATTTAACCGCGGTAACAGTCAAGGTTTGTATGAATTTATCAATGACATTGAACTGTGTCTAAAAAGGATCATAATTTGATAAATTCAGCAATTCGACAATTCGATATATAAATATTCGGCAGGACGTAACAATAAGAGATAGAGAACGACTCATCGAGATAGGATTGCGGGTTTTGTATTTTAAAAAAAATATGTATTATATAACGAGCGTAAAATTATATTAAATTTTATATAGATGCCGGATAAATATTATCATCGAACAGTTCTCGACATGTTCCATTCAACATTCGGATAGGAAAATAGCTGAGAATACAAAATGGACTGTAATTAAATTAATATTTATTCTTGCGCATAGAAAGATATCAGTCGCTCAGAGAAACCGGATGCACAAATTTTCCAAAAGAAATTAAACTATTTGAATTATTGAAAAAATAAACATGTTTACATGCACTAAATAAATTCCTTCTCAAGTGGTCATGGTCTATTTTCTCGACATAAATACTCTCGATTCTAAACCATATGGACACAAAATACCCAATACAGTTACTCAAGATCCTAGACAGTATGGACACGGAATGCCTAATACATACGTACTCACGATCCTAAACCATATGGACAAAATGCCTAATACATACGTACTCACGACCCTAAACTATATGGATATAATGCCCAATACATACGTACTCACGATCCTAAACGACATTGACATAATGTCCAATACATACGTACTCACGATCCTAAACGATATGGACATAATGCCCAATACATACATACTCACGATCCTGAACCATATGGACATAATGCCCAATACATACGTACTCACGATCCTAAACCATATGAACATAATGCCTAATACATACGTACTCACGATCCTAAACTATATGGACATAATGCCCAATACATACCTACTCACGATCATAAACTATATGGACATAATGCCCAATACATACCTACTCACGATCCTAAACGATATGGACATAATGCCCAATACATACATACTCACGATCCTAAACCATATGGACATAATGCCCAATACATACGTACTCACGATCCTAAACCATATGGACATAATGCCCAATACATACGTACTCACGATCCTAAACCATATGGACATAATGCCCAATACATACGTACTCACGTTCCTAAACCATATGGACATAATGCCCAATACATACGTACTCACGATCCTAAACCATATGGACACGGAATGCCCAATACATACGTGCTCACGATCCTAAACCATATGCCCAATACATATATACTTACGATCCTAAACCTTATGGACACGGAATGCCCAATACATATATAGTCACGATCTAATGTAAAAAATTTAAATTTAAAACTGTGTCAAAGTTAGTGAAGCATGAAATATGAATCGTAGTAACATACTTTTATGAGTAAGAACAATACTATTCATTTAAGGGAGACAAAGACGGTAAGACAGTTTGTAATGATAAAGATGTGTGATATACGAACATAAAATAAAAGGTGTAACCAACAGAAATTATCTTTGATCATGCAAACAAGAGATTTTAATATTACAATTAAAATTATAGCATTGTGGAAACATGAGGGCAAGCATTTTCTTGTCGACAACGTAAACACACCACCATACACGAACGTAGGTATTATATCTCAGCTGCACGTTGTAGTGCACCAGAGATGCAACGTTTGTTTTGGGGTTTTTTTTGCACTTACTGAATGACTTTGAAACCAAAGATATTCAAGTCTTATTCAAACCATACAAGTAACCAAGGAAACACAAATGCAAAAAATAGACACAACTGAGCCGTGTTATCGACATAAAGAGACCACATGTGATGCAATACCCCCGAATTTTCAAACGTAAGAGTTACAGTTACAAGATTATTAACCACACAAGAGGAAAGATTTTAAAATGGTCACATAAATGTTCAGTTCGAAATCAACAACTCTAAAATTTTAAACTGTTTGAAACACAGGTTGAAGAGAAATATGCATACCAAGAACAGTTAGAAACGGCTGAAAGTAAAAAGAAAAATAACGCGCTTAACATACCATTTAATATGGTTGGAAAGAGTTTTCAAGAGAATCAAAACAATCCATTAATTCGAACCTTAAAGAAAAATTAGTTATTAGGTGAATGGCAATCGATATGGCTACATCAACTGATGCTTTGTCGATACCAATAACTGTAGCCATTGCATTAGATATGGATGTATCGTTTTAGGCCGTCTCTATAATACAGTCTGGTTAAATGGTTAGTAGGTTGTAGATGAATAATATACTTTTATGCTCCATTACGGACGACAAATGCAATAATACAATTATCAAAAGACCTAATAAATATGGGCATGACTTAGCAAAACAATATTCTGCAACTGTTGGTGGTGCTAAAAGCTGATTGGTTACGATTGCTGACAAATTATCTATTTTCCTGCTGCTTACGTCATATTACTTGTTTTAGCATTAGTTCATTTGTTATTTGGATTCTTTATTGGAAGTTTAAATAAAGCATATTTCATAATATTATGCTGAGTAAACTATCTCCGAAACTAACAATTATTATCAATATAAATTATTGCTTATTTTAAGTATTGTTCTTGCTGTTTATAAATCGCCAAGTTTAAATGTTTTTGCTAAGCGATGCGGAGCGATATTTCCTAAACAATGCAAATTACAGCAGAGGATGTCTGAACATCTGAGAGACAACCTTTTCCATCACATTATCAGATGCGCTGTGCACTTACTTCGCTATTCTGTCGTTGCCGATAGCATGGCATTCTGAAGAAACGTCATTCTTTTTTATATCTACACCATTTATACTCACTTTATCGTTTTTTATTTTGTTTGTTTTGTCTTTGGTTTGATTTTTGTTGTTTGGTTGGTGGATGGTTGGGGGTTTGGGGGGTCTTTATTTTTATCCTTTAACGTGCTGTCGCAGTGTTTTTCAGCCTTTGCGAACGTTATCTTTTATAGATCAATTAAGTTTTTGGTTATAATCCAAATTTGAACGACTCTGTTTATTTCTGAAATCCGTTGTTCTATCCGACAATACTACCCATGACTCTCACTCAGTAAGAAAAAGATACACCGCCAATCTAATTTCCCCTAGAATCAGTTATGTCTCGTTGAAATTCTGTCATTATGATTCATCTATGGCACAACCTTTCTGGCCTAAACTTGATGGAGCCATTTATATTTTAACAGTTTCCAAACAGATGGTGTAATTGCTGTTCTCATTTGTAACTTACACCAAAGATGCAGTTTATAAAAGCCCTTATATGCTGGTTTAACCTTGCTACCGTCACTGGTTTGACCTTTGCTATTTTACAGGACACCGTTCAACGCATACTGCATGTACACGTTTATAAGAGGAGCAAACTGCAAACAGCAAAGATCATGATCTACCATAACACAATGCGCCTTTAAACAAATAAAACATCTTGTTTGTTTTACGGATTACACCTAAGAAAATGCACAGACTCAGAGTTTCCGCGCTTTATGCGACAGCAAATATGGGTCTGTGCAGTTTGTAGTTGGTA